GTTCTGTTCAACTGTTAAGCTAGGATTTATTACCGTTATTATCATTATATTGTCACGTGATTTGTTTTACCTTATGTGTAATGTCTTAAGTATCTTTATTGTAATTTGTATATACCAATTCGTATATACCGAGGAAACGACCCCGATTGAAGGTCATGTATTTTATGACGTCACCAATTCGTGTGTAGGTACTGCTTCTAGATCTGTGCCTCCGATCCTACTTCAGGTCCTTTTTATTACCCAAGAAACATTTCGAGCGCCTGTGGTTTATACTTGCAGGTTGGCCGTAGATGTGAACAACATACATTTGTACTTAGCCCTTCATGAACTGTGTGTCTTGGGGTTAGTATCTTAATAATACGGACAGGTGATGTAGGGTCATTGTCCATCATTGTTTTTTTTAGTTAGCTCGATCTATTCAGCACTATACATAGGGCTACCGGTAATCTTTATTTACTATATACGTAAGTCTTTTTTTTTTGTGTAATAGAAAACACAGCATTTGTTATTATTATGATTTTATTCTTTATTGTAATTTTATCTATTGCTACGTTCACACAACAGCATTTTATCGGGGCCAAGTTCGGCTCCAAATAAACCCTCAGGGTTGAACTCTGATAGGGTTGAGCCTCGACATGGCCCCGACCGTGTATACGCAGGGCCCAACTATCGGAGTCCAAGTCAAGCCCTCAATCGTCTTCTTCAACTTGAAGTAACCTCTCATTTCAATTATGGTGGAGACAATATCGATTTGACGAAGAGGTACGCGCCCTAATATCTATTTTGCAGAGTAAGGAAATACTGCGATAGATTGACAGGTCAACGGGAAACAGAAAAATGGCGTACGAAATTATGCGATAAAAACTTGAAAGAAGGACTGAACAGATCCAATGAAAATGGAAGATACTTTTTAAAGACACCAGAGATCAAAATCGTAGAAGCGGTCATGGTAAGGTGACATGTTCCCAGTAGGTTTAGATTGACAACTGTAACACATATCACAGCAGTTGAACAATGACAATAACTTTTAGCGAATAGGCTGTAACACATTTCAGCTGCCGTGTTACCAGTTTATTCGAGATACTACAAATGTACATGTTGTATTACCTAAATCATAACACCAGACTCGATCGTGAGTGCTTTTTTTTATCCCAGATCAACAAAATCGTGGCATGTAAAGAAACAACACAAGCTTGACATCAATATTGTTTTCAGCCATGTTTTTTTTTTAAAACTAATTATTCAAGGGCTCTGACCGAACTGAATCGAACTATTGCAGATCTGCGCTCTCGTTCGGCTCCCAACCGTATAAACGCATTGGAAATAATCTCCTGTCAATCGGTGGGAGGAGCAGCAGTTCGGCTCCAGTAGAATGCTGCCGTGTGAACATAGCATAAATCTCAACAGAGATTCGATAACAATGAAGTTATTATTATACTACAATTACCGGTATACTAGTATTTATTGGGTTAGCTGGGACCCCCTCCACATGGTATGTTAATATGAAAACATCATAAATGGCCATAGTAAATATAATTATGATAATATAAAATAAAAAGATTGACTTGGATTACTTCCCCTTGAAAAAATGTGAGTCATCTCAAAATTAGAATATTCTGTGGCCTTGATTCCATGTGACTTTTCATTCACTACGTGTATACCTTATACTTCAATAATAATTTTACACAGTCGTTAGTGGAGTTAGGTATAGTAACTAGAACACTGCATGAATCAGACTATTTATTAATGAGATGGTACCTAGCTTAAGGTAATATACTGGTAATACAAATAATAATCTTTATTTAAACCTTATCCTGGTCTTGGTATCTTGGTAGAAAAAACAATAATGTACAATGACAGAGAGAAAAAACAAACAAAAAATTATCAAAAACAAAAAAAGAATGATTTGATTTCCCTATGTGTTGGTTGGTTGATGCAGCTGGCATTTTAGGATTTTGTCTTGTCTCATTCGGAAACAAGGTATAGTAAGTAGACACCTCATGGAATGTAAGATGGGTGTGGCACATTATAACAGACTATGTATCGACTGCTTACTCAGAGGAAGTTAGACAGTCCTAGTCAATATAAACCCAGATTCTCCCTACTTTGGGGTATACATGAATGTGGGAGCCAGGACGCCAACTTTTTTGGGCACCACCAGCCAATGGTAGCTGTGGTTTCACACACCTCTGTTGATAATTAGTACCAAGGAACGCAAATCGCGGAACTTTTCTCTAAATTATGACGTACTCCCACTCACACATGGAGCTAAAAATCTTTTTTTTTTAGCTCCATGACTCGCCCCAACCTAACATTGACAAATAAAGAAACACTTGCAACTCAAATACGATTGTTATCGATGGCCACAGACCACGGTTACTATCCGTCAACTGGCTAATTGGGTGAATTTTGTGCCTGTTTTCTGGATAATATCAGGTTTGTTAACGATTATGTCAACTGTTACAAACAATTAACACAGTTAATAAATATTCCGAGCTTCATATTTCAGAATACACTACATCATAATACAGTCTTGTATGTCGTCAAACTATTCTCTAAATGAGGTATTTATGTTGTTGTCAAGTTTACTTTTCTCTTTTTTAGCGTCTTAATTTTCTTGTACGCTAACAAATCTAAAGCTGGTCTCAAACACGGTCTCATTCCCTGTCTATGTGGCATTCGAGAGTCTCTAAATCGGTCTCAAATGCCATCTTCCTCTGTGGGAGAGTCTCAAAAACATACTTTGAGGAAGATTATCCCTATAGTTATCCCACATACATGTACATGAGGAGGGGGGGGGGGTCAGTAGAATTGTGCATTATAATGGTTTAATCAATGACTGCCATTAGAAATATATAGAATGTCGTGGGTCTCACCCAGCAGGTCATAAATTATGGTTAAAGCATAATTTAACTAATAACTAGCTTCAAACCACCTTAAACTAGGTTAAACTACCATCAAAAATGACAGATTACTGAGGTATGCAAATCAATCTATAAAAGTTCCATACTTGTATCATAGGTTAATACTGCAAAGAATATGTTATTGAAATTATTGATGACATCAACATTCACTTTAAAAATGCAAGTTTTTATGAAAAAGCAAAGCAAGCTAGGAAATTAAGTTAAGCTCCGGAAAGAATTTTTTTTGTATCCCCCATCCCTAACCCTAACCCTACCCTCCAGCACTCCCCATTTAATTGTACATGCCCCTCCTAAGGACATCTATAGTTATCTAGAGGGGGCATATACAAATGAATTGAGTAACTGGGAGTGAGTGTTAGAGTTAGGGTTAGGGATGGGCGTACAAAAGGAACTCTTGCCTTAAGCTTCATCTGCACTGTACCACAGATATGTATTATATAACTTAGATAACCATAGTTCAATCCGAGGTCATACAAATCCCGTTATCATATTTCAATTCTACATATGTGCATTGTAAATTATTTGCTGTTCTAAGAATACCGTATACTAAATCATGGTTACTAAAAAAGACCGTGATTAAATTGCACATATATTTTTATAGTATGCACTGTGCTAGTTTTCACCTTTTACTGATGAAATGAAAAAAATGATTATAGATCCAACAAATGTTGTGTTTTAACATCATCAGATTATATTTGACTATATTTTCGTGGATTCATCCAATTTGGTTGGAAGATATCTTAAGTTTGTAGTAGAGGTTTCACACTAATTATTTTCACAGAAGAATTGTTTTAAACCATATCAAGCTATATATTCTAGGAGAGGTCATAATTCACTGTAATTAAAAATCAGTGTTACATTAGATACAACCTTCATGTCATGTCATGTAAATAAATCCTTTGTTGAAAACTCAAATGAACACTGTGAAGAAAGAGATACCACTATTTTTTTTTTTTTACAGAAAAATGTTGAATAAAACATAAGAAACATGAAAATCACAGCAATTTTAGATTGTTTTTTGGCATTCTCTCCGGAAAAACTTTGTTCGTTTTTACATTCAGATAGTGAAATCTTTAGAATGCATAAATTTAACAAAAAAACACTATGACTGTTATGTTCATATATACTACATCTCCAATCACATCAGGTAAGCGTCTAAAAATGTTCTGAAATTATTTCATACTCGACAGTGTGATTTATTGATTATTCAAATACATGGAGATGTGCAAATTTAGTAATCCTAACAGTTTGACCACTGTTTTAAGCATGTACCATTCATGATACAGCTGTGAAATGTACATAGAATAATTAGGTATACTTAGAGATTCTATAAAATATTAAAAGTTCATGCCAAAAAAAACTCTATTACATCCTCAAATAAGCCCCCCCCCCCCCCCAAGATATGTTACCTGTCAGCACATGCATCAGTTCAAAAAGGCAAGGCTCATTTGTCTGGTTTCTGGCAAAATATTGTAGAAATACATGCAGAAATGACAACAAGAAAAAGACTTTTTAAAAAAAAAAAATCTCAGAACCAGAATCAAATCTTTTTTTTTTCACCTTCCGATATTTTCTATGATATCTGGCGGTAATCAGCATCGTGTCACCTTTATAATTCGTGGTAAATAAAAAAAACTTATTATTATGCAGTTTCATCAGGATTATTTTTATCTTTCTTTCCCAGATGCAAGTAATGATAGTGATGGTTTGGATACGTCTATTGATGCCAGGGGATCTGCTAGGATTGCTGCAAGGTCCCGCGTGACTGGAATCAGTGCAGGGTGAGTCAGCATGCATGTCATCACTGTTTAATCTGACATGGCTTTGATAAATATGATGTATGTGTCAGATACAAAATACAACAATAACGCTATTTGCAAGATATTCAGGTCATAAGTTGTTTGCACATCACTGAGCATGTGTTTTCATCTGTGATTGATTTTTTTCGGCCACGATTGAGGTTTGGCTATGATTGAGTTTTCAGGTGTGATCAAGGTTTTCAGCAGTGTCAAGAAATTCATTGAATGTAAGCAAAAAATGAGTAAACCACTGTGTACAAGATTTTATATTTTTGATACCCGGTAATAATTCAGTCAGATGTACAATGTAACTACTGTTTTTTGTTCATCACACCAAATGTGTTAAAAACTTTAAAATACTGAAAACTTTAATGGTTAGTGTGTCAACCAAGTAGCTAGAGGATTGTAGATTTAGTTCCTGTAGACGACTGACAGAGTACATTCTATTCACTTGTTAGGCTTGCGGCATTCAAGTTCATAATTCAAAAACTAGTTCGGTTAGATCCAGAATAAGATATTCATGTTTCTTGTCACCATGCGCATCAGTTAAAAACTCCCATGTCACAGGTTTTTTTTTTCAGTTTGTAAAAGAAAAATTTGGTTTCATGAAAAATCATAAATTCAATGACAAAAATGAAAAAGAAAATCCACATTTTATGAATCTTTTGTAAAATTTCAAGTGTAACATTGTTGCCTGTAATATGAATCAACCATGCTTAGTACAATAGTACAAAACTGAAGCTGGTGTACAATGAATCATGCCTCAATAAATTCCTCACTACCCAAAAATCGATAAACTGTATCTTAAGAACAAATTCTTTTGGAGGGACATACAAGTAGTTTGTTATGGTGGAGTGTTCCTTGTACATTGTAATGAAGATTATATTACTGATACTATTAGTGGGAGACATAAGATGTTTATTATAAAAAAAGTTACAGTGTACATATAAATGCTCTGTGCCAAATGTGATGGCAATAGTACATTTACGACTGATTAATTTGACAAATTTTGGATATATCTGTAACCTAAGTTCAGCATAATTTAGCCATAATCGCTTGAAATGTACATAGACTCATGGGTAATAAACAATATCAAAGGGCTTCAATATCTAATGAAATCTTCTTCTTTGGATTTTATTGTATTAACACAAGTGTGCCCTCTAATATACTGTGTTTTTCGATTTTTGTGAGTTAAAAAAGAAAAATAGAAATTTGCACTTCAACGATGCACAGCAGTGTTACACATTGCACAGTAACATTCCTCGTTTGATTTATCAAGCGTGGGGGTACAATAATTTGGTGTCCTCCCTTTTGTTGTTTTGTTGTTACCTAATTATTTTTAGAGAATTTTTTTTTCTATGAATCAAGTTGTATCAATAATGAGACTTTCTGGTCGCTTGTGTTAGTGACGTGTCAAATTGCCTTAGAGGGCGTACTAGATCTTAAGGATGAATGATTTATGAATAATTTATCATTTTTTTTAATATATCACTTCTTCATTGTGTTCTTTTTCAGGATCAGGTCATTGGGATTGATGGACAAAGATGTACTCGATGCATACAACATGAACCACGGGACGAGAGGACATGCACTTATATTCAACCATGAAAACTTTCACTGGAGTGTAGGAATGAATAGAAGAGCCGGAACGCAGATTGACGCAGACAATTTGAATGATAGATTTCGTGAACTGGGTTTCACTACTCATGTACATCAAGACGTCAGTACTGTTAGGGTCAGAGAGATTATATTTGAAGGTAATTACGCTATACTGCAAGTATTCTGATTTAGGTAGCGCTATTGGGAAATTTTCAGTCTTACCAGACACTTAAAGTAGAGTTAGAGTCCATTTTAGCTTTTTCATAGTCGCTGGCGCTTATTTACATTACACAATGCTTAGTGTGAATGGGTGAATGGCTAAACTCTGTTTCGACAATGAGCTGTTATCACCATGAAAAGTGTTAAATACTTCTTCAATGCTCAGTTTGTCTTTCAAAAATTAATAATTTGCTGTTTTTCCAACAAAATCAACTTGTGTATGCTGAATTTGTATCAAGTATTTGCAATGAAGCTGTTAAATTTTACTTGCAATTCATAACAAATCAATAAACTAATCTTTAGCTCGGCTGTCGACACAGCAGAGCTGTTCGTATTACTAATTGTCCGTCGGCGTCCGGTGTCCAGCAACTGGCGTCCGGCGTTCGTCGTCGTCCACTTTACAATATTAACTTCTTTGCAACCGCAAGTCAGAATGTTTTCAAATTTGATATGCAAGTACCTTGGATGGCTCTTTCTCAGATTTGTTAATTTCATGTCAAAATCTCAAATTCTCTATTTTTGGTGAATATTTTTGTCATATTTGGTAAAAAGTGATATTTTCGACTTCTTGTTGAAAGTTTGATTGCTTTGAAACTATACATATTGTTCATTTTCTAATGATATCTTCAGTTCCCAATTGAAATGTGCATTGATAACAGCAGAGCTATATCAGCCGACAGGCTGCTTGTTTGTACCTTATTATACTTTCATCTTTTATTTTTTCTAAGATTCGGACAAAAAAGTGAAAGTAAAAACCTGATGCACACGTTTTTAATAATATTTTACCTTAATGATTAAAAATTGTGTTTGTTACGGTGAAATTATTATTCAAATGCTGATAAAGTTTACTATGATATGTTATCAGACTTCACTGTATCTTTGTTTACAGCCGCCCGTGCCGACCACTCAAACTATGATGCTTTCATCTGTGTCTTTCTAAGTCACGGTGATGACGGTATTATTTACGCTCATGATGGCGTTCTTCGGTTACAGGATTTGATGAATCAGTTTAGGGGCGATGTATGTCCATCTTTAGCTGGAAAACCAAAGATTTTTTTCATACAAGTGAGTATTTAATGTATGATTTGATATATTCAGACAATTCTAACTTGTAAGCTCCGCTGCTTATCATATAATTGTTCGTCGCCGTTCACGTCAACTTTTAAATTTTGTGACTTCTTCTTGAGAACTACAAGCCTGATTGTTTCGATACTTGATGTATATGTACCTTGGGCAGACCTCTCGTAGAATTGTTCATTTCGTGATGATATCTTTAATTTTGGTGAATATTTTTGTCACTTTTAGTAAAAAGTTGTATTTTCGACTTCTTGTTGATAACCACAAGTCAGATTGCTTAGATATTATATATATAGGTACCTCTCTCAGATTTGTTCATTTTGTGATATCTTCTGTTCTTTAATTGATATGCGCATTGCTAAACAGCAGAGTTATCTCAGCTGAAAGTCAGCTTGTTCATAGAGCTAGAGAGGAAATGGGAATAAACAACTTTCACTAAAGGGAGAGGGCGCTATTCATACGATGTTGGCACACCTTGGGCTTTAGCATTAAAATCGAGTATTTCTATTCAAACCAATGTAAATTGTTGAAATTAAGAAAAAATATGGATGCCTATATTTTACATTACTAGGTGAGGTTAATTTCAGTATCATACCAGTTGCTGAACCAAGTTGATCAAGCTTTGGCTTAGATACAAATAATTTCACAAAGGAAATATAATGTTAAATCATTCCCATGCTTTTCTAACATTTATTGTAGTGGTGAAACTTAGTGTGAGCAGTCTATGGAACAAATTCACTCTAGTTGACTATATTATGCAAATAATTATGATCAATTTAGACATCTAGACTTTTTCATCACCTGGCAACCATCACCAGTGAAAACAAAAGTGTAAAACTCTCAGAAAACTGTAATTTGGGCTTTTGAACAGTGTTACAAGATTAACCCTACGTGTGTAACATATATGAATTTGGTTGTTTTCATAGTTGAGTTTATGCTGTTTTCTCAACTTCAGCTGTATTTTCACCGGCTCCACCGGTGTTCCACGACAGTATGCGCAGAGCCAATAGAAATACATGGTACAGTGATGCGCGTCTTAGGAATGTAGAATGTCCGTGACGTAGCCCCGCCCCCAAGAATGTCAGGAATGTGTGCTCTACTTCGCAACGAATAATTGAAATTGAGTTTTTCACAGTTGTAGTAACATCTTATCTTCATGTTATCCTTATTCCAAATCCACAAAATTTAGTTAAAGTCTTATACATTGTAGGCATGCCGAGGGGATCAACATGAAATTGGTGTTGATGCGCCAGATGAGCCGGATTCTGGTCCTATGCCAGATGAGCGAATGACTGTGGCAGATGCCGGAACACAACCTACTATACCTGCTGGTGCCGACTTCCTAGTTGCTTATTCTGTTACACAAGGTGAGAGAAAAGAAATGATTCTTTTGATATATTTATTCTTTAATATGTACACTTTACCCCCAAACTGTGTCGCTGGATGCAGCAAGAACGCTAAATATTACTGATAAATATGACCAATCAGAGACCGGTACCAGAAAGAGGCTGCATATCAGTTTCAGTGCGTCAACTTTATTACTGTTCGATTATGTTCTTCTTTTGGAGTTTTCACGAGCTCACGAGCTCAAGAATGTAGTTTTTTGTATTGTTCTAAACTTTATTCAGTTGACAATAAATGGGTTAGATGAGTTACATACTACGAGACGTTGCGTTATCCATAAGTCTACAGATTGAACCTGCTCGGTGACGCCTGATAAATTACAGCTCAGTCATCAAGCCACAAACTGGGTGGCTTTCCCTTTCCACAAAATTTTAAGTATGTCATTGTCATAATTTAGTAATTAAAAAAATGTACTAAAGCTACTCATATTGCACACAAATTTTGTAAGTTATTTAAGCTAGATTTAAGCTAGCTATTTTACACATCATGTATAGGTTGTATGGGATCAATATTGAATTTGATGGGTCATAACAACAATCACTTTTTTATCAAAGACCAGATTATTGATAGTAAGTCACCTCCGTTGATGCTGCAGGTTCCGTTCTTTCAACACCGATCTGAACTTCGAATGTTTTGAATCAATTGTTGGTCATCACGTATTTTACGAGTTTTTGAATCGTTTTAGTAGTTTCTTTACTAAATAATGATAAACAAACTTAAAAATAATGTAGAAATAAACTGGCCCAAAAATTGCGTAAATCTGCAATCAGTTTACGCTGCTAGTTCCTGGATCGGAAAGCGTTCTACACGTGATTTTATTGCGTTCAAGGATGTTCTATTTCAAACTAAAATTACACTGGAAATTTTGAACATCAAACACAAATTTGATTATCATTATTATGTGTTAATTTCTGCTGCTCCAAAGATTGAATTATGTATGACATTAATGTTTCACTTCCTAAACAATATTTCACTAAAATATGTGATTAAAAAGCAACTTAAATTGGAAAAAGAATTATTAAGTTTCGTGTATAAACACTAGTGTAAAGAGGCGGCGGAGCGCTATTTTAGCCAAAATTGGGTAGTAAGGCGTTGTATGACACAGGTATGTGCTGAGACATGCAGCACTTCCTGTGACGACACAACGAGTCACCTCTCTAAAGCCATTTTGAGGTATCACGGATTTTTAATACGTTAAGGATGCAATCGAAAAATGGAGTTCATAGAAAAAAAATTGACTTTTTCTGAAAAAAGGTTTTGTAATATCAAAACATATCGTTATTGTGAAAATAAGGCATGAATTTATTGATTTAATTGTATATAAATGGCACTGAATGCCATCTAGACGTTCTCCGAAAATCTCTAGTATGTCCTCTGCATCATCATTTTCAAATACAACCTTGTCGATGTGTTTTGCCAGAATCAATAATGATACTTTGCGATTCTTTCCATAAGTACCTTATAATTATAAATATTTTGATCCTATCAGTTGATGTCTGTAATTCAGAACAGGAAATTGTTCAAATTTGTGAAAATTAGTCAACATGTCAGCCATCTTGGAAACATGTTTATTGTTCCAGTTTTGTTTTGCATGTTCTATTAAGCAAGGTAGTAAGTATGCAGCTGTTTGATGCAATACAACAAAAGCTATGGTGAAAAATCTCTGATAATTAAGTCATAGAAATGCACAATGCCAATGTATACAATTTTTTAAAAAACTTCCAAAAACATCCCATCATATAGTTACTCCAATCATGTTTCAGAAATTTGTAAAATCTTTCGGCATTCATGAAAGTAGGCTTAAATGATATCAAATATGAAGTTATCACGAGGATACCGCAAAGTATGTACAAAGACAGTATAGTACAGTATAGACAGACTCATAGTATAGGTCGATGTGACTGTGCTGTCTGAGTGCATACTTTTATGAGCCTCATAATAAACATAGTATTGTACATCTTCTCGATATGAAAGTGTTAAGACCAGAACTGAGTAAGTTGGTGAAAGTTAGTGAACATTCTTGTTATGAACTAAGAGCCCTATGCTAATGCTATAAAGCTAAATGTTCCATATTTAGAATTCCTATGTCCTAATAAGGTACAATGTAGATATCCATTGAAAACTAACAATTACAGTTGGGCCAAAGCATATACACAAAGCAGGATGCTAGTACATTGAAAAAAAAACTTCTGCAAACAAGCTGCTCTCTGATTGGTCAGGCTGTCAAGTGTTTGAGTTGGGTAGCCAATCAGGCACAATCTTGTAAGAGTTTTGTATTGATAGATGTCAATTCTTCTTCATTACAGGTTATTTTTCTCACCGTGATACACACTACGGTTCTTGGTTTGTTCAAGCTTTATCTTACATATTGGCCACCTATGGAAACGAATTAGAAATCTGTGAGATGTTGTCAATGGTAAACAGAATGGTATCGCAGCGACAAGTAGAGAGAGCAGTAGACCAAGAAATGATTGGCAAAAAACAAGTTCCATGTTTCCTATCCATGTTAACTAAAAAACTTTATTTCCCTAGGAAAGTACATCATACCTAAAGCGAATGTAGATAACTAACACACAATAGATATATTGCATGCTGTACTATGTTCTACACTGTATACTTTGCTGTACCATTTAGTGCATACATCAAATAACAAAATCTTTCTACGGCATTTGTTAAATATCTATTAAAATGACCTCATATTAATACATGTGAGCAGCAGTAATATATCTGTAGATATCAGCATTCAGTGTAAGCTTGCTAAATATGTCATTGCCGTATGATATCTTTGCCATGTGACTGCATCATAATTTTAATTCTTTGCTTTCTTTTTCGTCAGTTTTGAACAAAAAATTTTATTCTACTTTTGCCTTGATTTTTAATACAAGATACCTTTCTATCTGTCTGTCTGTGGGGATGTGTCTGTGGGTATGTGCAGGTGTGTCTGTGTGTCTGCATGGTTGTCTGTATCTATGTGTCTGTTTGTCTGCATGGTTGTCTGTATCTATATGTCTGTTTGTCTGCATGGTTGTCTGTTTCTATGTGTCTGTTTGTCTCTAACTTACTGCCACTGCAGTTTCTCCTGCATTCCTGTATGTACTCATTGTAAGCATGTAACATTGGTAATGAAATGGAACTTGGTACACTTGAATATCAGTGTGGTACAAGGTGGAATTTTTGAAAAATTGGTGCATATTAATTAGCTAATCTGCATGTCAATGAATGTAAGCAAACTTCATAGCTTTAATACTACCGGGGTAGTACTATTATTACAGTTTTCATCACAGAAGCTTGTACAGTTTCAGTTTCAATTAGGTATTATTTTTTGCAAGATATTATCGCTGCTCAAGTGAAAATTCTTAGCCCTCATTAAAGAACTAATTCCTTCATATAAATAGAATCCTGTGACAACAACTTATATATGTATACAGCAAATGTATAACTACTATTGCATTAAAAAATTTAAGATAGCAATAGGGAAAATTTATCTGTGATTCAGACATTCTCTAAAAGTTACTGAGCATGCTCCTATAACAACTTATATATTTTCTGAAAGCTTGGATATAGGTGAACAAGGTAGTGCATACAAATGTTTATGGAATTACCTGACTTTTAATTTAGCTATTATGCTTTTTTCGGCTATTCCGACTATTCTTGACTATTCCAACTTTTGAAAACAGTTTTTTGAAAACTTTCAGTCATGCGAATTCATAATTCATTCTTTTTGTATATCTGTTTTTTAGCCATAACTGATTAACTACAGACATGCTAATGACAACAGGTTTATTATAATTCAGTTATTACCATCCATTGTAGCCAGCATAGAAATTTGTTTTTAATTTTATTAAAGCGGGGGAGTTGTCATCTGTGCATGCGTCAGATGGCCATAGCATGTCATTGTTTCTAACAAGCGTCTACCCACGAGCCTTTGCATTTTTAGCGTGTGTTGTTATCGTTGATAGGGACTCAATTCCAGCACATGTGCAGGTGACGACCCTCCCGCTTTAACTTATGCAAATATTCAATTAAAAGTAAATTCACCAAGTACTGAAAATAATTGAATAAACAAACATAGAAAACATGATGAAAACATTATCTAAAACATAAATCAAAAGCTTTTTAACATTGAAGACATTAATAATGTTCATGTACATTACTGAAATTGTCACCATCTGTCATCTTTTACAGATTGAAACCCTACATCATTTTTCATATATTTTGTTTTCATTTGCATAAATGCAGAAAGTAGGAAGTTATGTCCATTTCGTGCAAAGTTATCACCCAAAAAATATAGAAAAAATACATAAAAACTAGGTGGCATGCTGTACCACAATCCTTGTAGGAAACACTTTTGCAGACAAAGTGTTAATAAGTGTACATCACTAAAAATACTGTAAATGCGTTAATTATTCAAAGGTTTTTAATTTCGTTATTTTTGCTGATAAGTAAAATCCGATGAATTAAATCTCTGTGAACTTGTAAAATAAAAATAACACCCATTGTTTCTGTTACAAATTCCTGAAATTAAAACATTTTGTATGTTTAACCATAGGACTACTTTCCATTAATGTAAATTATTGCTGTACTTCAATTTCCTCATGACTGCCTCAAAACTGAATATGAATAAGTCGTGCAAGAAAATGCTAGAATTACATCTAAAACTCGTGTATTAACTATTTAATAACTACATGTATTAAGGTAGCTGGATAGTCTTTTTGCTTTCTTACAAATCAAAATACAACTTGAAAGCTATTCTCAACAACCAGAAGAACCAAACAGCAACAAAGTAGTGCTACCCACCAAATAACTATTTTGATTTTAGCAAACCAAAGTTGTTCACAATCAAAAATGGAAGAACATATTTGTAAATCTGTATTTTCGACAAATTTATCTCTTGTTTTAACAATTGCAGTTGGTTAGAATAAAAATTAATAATTATGAAAAGAAAGTTCCAATTCCAATTGATTTTTCAGTTGAACAGTGTTTTTTTGGTTGATTTCAGAATACTTCCTCTTCCCTTGGAAATACCCATTGTTTATATCATATACTGTAGAATACTTTATTTTCGCTTGAAATTTATTTTCGCTATTTTCGCTGAAGGGATGATTCCGTGAAAATAAAATCCAGCGCATATGCTTTTTTTCCTATATTTCACATTAAACTCATCATAAATCAGTGAAAATAAATTCCATACAGAACTCCCGAAAAAGCCTTTTCAGCGAAAATTTATTCCACAGTATATAGGTGTTTGTAATTGACCAACACCTACTTGTGCTTGTAGTTATGTTTGACAATCATGAATAGTAATGTACTTAAACAGTTCACAAAGATAACAAAAACATGTGTGCTTGTTATGAGAGAAGAAAAACATGTGTTTTTTTTCATAGGAAAAAAAAAATTGTTTTTTAACAAAATATACATGACAGTACATAGATCAAATGCTAAAGTGTTTATTCATTTAATTTTTGCAAAACAAATGCATACAAAACAGACTATTTTGCTATATCTAACGCATAATTGATGTGCAATAATTCTGTACTATTTGCATATTAAATTAATTATCAATCAATCATAAATGAAGTTTGAACAATATGTTTACATAGTTTAATTTTCGCTGAAACTACTGGACAGTTTTGATGTCCTTGACTGAGAAGTAATGTTTGTGCTGATTGAGTCAGTTCAGAATTATGCAAATGAAGCAATTTTATATGCGTTATTTTGCCTAGAGATTATGAACACTGGTGGTTATCTGTAAAATTTAAGAGTACGGTAGAGTTTTTATTTTTTAACTAGTGTTTAAACAGGAAAGTGTTTATCATGTAATTTATTAGAAGCTTTCAGTTTTGTTAAAATTTACCTCATTTTGTACAGATCATGTAGTTTTTTTCATCTTTTTTTTTATGAAAAAGATAGTGTATTTTAATTTTCTCTCAGCTATTTATGCATTGTTACCCAACAATTGGCAAAGCTGAATAAATAACGTGCTTGCAGTCTATGTGTGTTTTTTTTATCCCTTCTCACAAATTTATTCTGGTTTCCAACAATTCTTCAAAATTAAATTATTCTCAGGTTGAACATCCCGGGATTTTCACCGCCTGGCAACCATCCAAAGACTGAAAACTCTCAGAAAATGGTACTTTGTGGTATAGTTGTTGAGACTTCCCTGAACAAGATTACCCCTGCATGTGTAACATAACGTATATAAATTTAGTTGCTCAAGATTACTTCAAAATTGAGTTTGTGCTGTTGAGTTTGCTGCTAGATTTTTGTAATATACACCTTGAACCTCGGTGAGGGCGTACGGTGGACAAAGTGAACTAAGGCTACACTGCTGAGACGTTTCACAGATGATGGGGAAGACATCCAGGCCGGCAGAAGGCAAACTGCCCAGCAGAAGGTCAGTGCCCTAGAACTAATGTTGGGGCAAATAGCCAACTGTCCTGTCATATCACGCAACATAAAAGTCAAATATTCTACATCCATGGCCAATATTTGGCAGGCAATTCGTCTTCATGTTGGATTCCGTTTCACTGGTGCACACCTGCTAGTGTTTAAATATACACCTCGAACCAGATGAACGCCCAGAAGATCTCTTCCAGCGCTTAACAGCATTTGTTAATGATAACCTGTTGCGTAGTGACAATGGTATTTCACACCACAGTGAAACAATAACTGATGATGAGGAAATTTCCCCATCGCTTGAGAATTACATTGTACTCACTTGGTTACAACTAATTCATAGTGACCTCCCCAAACTGGTTATACAGTGCTATGGGACTGAGCTGTGGACAGGGACTCTGGCTTCTATAAAACCTGAGATCTCGCAATCATTGAGCTCACTTCTAGATGAAATCCGCATGACCGAGGACGCCACTGTCATGCATGCCCTCTGCTTCTTCAAGGCCTCAGAGGGGACGCATCACACCAAAACCTGCGAGATATCAAAAGCCACGACCCAGAGAACGCAAAAAACGCTCATGCCCATTATGTAAGCAGGCTGGTTGTCCCGACAGTCATTTCCTCAGGGAGTGTGACTTCCTGCCAGACCAAGATCGTAAGTTCATGACCAAGGCCCGACAGATTGTTACTTGACGAGGTTCCGCAGGACATCCAACGAGGCAAATATGAGCTCAGTGACTACGACACTGCAGATGTTCCTACTGCACTTACTGTACAAGTTCGCCAGTCACCATATATTGATACATTTTATGGCACACGCTTTATCATCGACAGTGGTGCCACTGGCAACATGATTCTCCTGGCTACCGCAAAACGTCAATAAAGTCAAGTTCTCAATCAGCACATCAAGCAGATGGTTCATCTCTCCTAAAAGTTGTGGGTGAGACCGAATTCACAGTCGTGATGATATCAATTTTAAGTTTATGTTAAAATACTTGCAGGTACCCCTTACATGGAGGCTAATGATGTAAGTGTTCGCTCAGCCAAGCACCAAGTCATTTTGGGGGACAACATTACATATACATATGGTTCATCGCCAAAGGGCAGTCGTCGCATTCATTGGACACTTGTCGGACACCACCAAAGTCAACAACC